AGCAATATTCCAGCAATATCACGGCAGGGGACACCAGAAATGGGCTTCACACATTGTACCCATGTCGGGAATCGAACCCAGGTCTTCGGCGTGACAAGCTAACGCTTTAACCACTAGGCTACCCGACTGCCCTTTTTTCATAGAGAATTGATTATTATGAACAGAGTTGTCATCCATAGTATGCAGGGTACAATACAGGATAATTTCATTTCTTGAGAAGGCGAAATGACATGTAGGAAATTGAGAACAGAGTAAAATACTTTTCCCTTTCCTTCCTAACAGATCCTAACCTGTAGTCTGGAAGGGCGGTCGGGTAGCCTAGTGGTTAAGGCGCTCGCTCGACATGCCGAAGACCCAGGTTCGATTCCCGACATGGGTACAATGTGTGAAGCCCATTTCTGGTGTCCCCCGCCGTGATATTGCTGGAATATTGCTAAAAGTGGCGTAAAACCATACTCACTCACTTACTGTAGTCTGGAAGGTAATTTTAGGTACCGACGTTTACTTCAATATCTGAAAAACTATCGGACCTACTCCAGTCAAAGTTGGTATGAGATTATTAAACAGTCAAACATAACTGGATATTACATTTAAAGACAATCAGTGCATGAATAAAATATCTCTCTATTTAGCTATCACTATATTTCATCAACAACCAGACCTGTTCGTCACGGGTGGAACGAGCATTCATTGTAACAGCCATCTGCATAATGCTACCCCTGCATCACAAGGCCATATGACACAGTTGAACCTGTTTATTAATCTCAAACCAACATTGACTGGAGTAGGTCCAATAGTTTTTCAGATATTGTAGTAAACGTCGGTACCTTAAATTCCATTCCAGACTATCGTCGAGATGACCGCAATGAGATAAATTTGGAGAATGTCCTTTTTTTAAGTATTCCCCATTTTTATTTTGTTGTGAAGGAAGAGAAAAAAGAAACATATGTTATGTCAATCTTACAAAGGAAGTAAATGTTTTGATGACATAGTTATCATTTTTTGATGTCTTAAACAATGAATGACTTCATATTTTATTGTTCTCAATAATATAGCAGCACAACAATGGATGACATTGTCATGCACTGTTTGACATCACAATCCACTGTATGACATCACCATCCACTGTATGACATCACCATCCACTGTATGACATCACCATCCACTGTATGACATCATCATGCACTGTATGACATCACCATCCACTGTATGACATCACCATCCATTGTATGACATCATCATGCACTGTATGACATCACCATCCACTGTATGACATCACCATCCATTGTATGACATCACCATCCATTGTATGACATCACCATTCACTGTATGACATTGTCATGCACTGTATGACATCATCCAATCACTGTATGACATCATCACCCACTCACTGTTTGACATCACCAACCAATATATAGAGAATCTCACCCGAGTGTCTTTTGATATCAAATATATCAACACGAGTTGATAAAAGTGGAAAAATTCCGAGGCTTGCCGAGGATTTTTGCCACTTTTATCAACGAGTGTTGATATATTTGATATCAAAAGACACGAGGGTGAGATTTTATTTATCATCCAACATCATTCTTTCAACTTTTTCAATTTGTAGACAGTAATTAGCAGTGACTTCAGTGTAAAAAGTACTGCTAACAGCTTCAGTAGCAGAGCCATTAGTGATGTCATTTGATTGTGATGTCATGGTAACCAGTGACGTCACAATTGTCTGCAAAGCATTGTGATGTAATTTCATTGCAGCGATATCTACAGTGTAGATATCGCTTGATCTAATCCAAGCCATATCTCCTGTGGGAGCAAGTTTTGGATGATATATATATATATATATATGGATATATATACTACTCAAAAAAGGTTAAAGAACACCCACTGTGTCTTGCAGTACCCACAACCATGACAGATTAAGTTTAAACTTAAGACAGAAATCGGGCTTTCCTTAACATCTTTTAAGCAGAATAAATTTGTTAAAAAAGTGAATAAACAAGATTGCCAACTTACTGTTGGTGACACCCGCTATCACAAATTACCAACAAGGTATATAGAAAGGTCTCTGATGGAGAGTATACTTGTCCGTGCCAGATTTGTTGTCATCCAACAACACAAAATACAGCATAACAACATAATAATTAAACTCAGGCATGAAATATGACTTAGAAATAAAAAATAAAAACAGTTCAACAAGATTGGTCCGACAAGTAGAGTGGAAATATTCAGCACAACTCTAATCAATATATAAACATGCAGAATACAGAACAAAGATCACAGGAAGTACACGCATGCATCACTGTTTACAAAACAACTCAATAAAGTGATTGCCAACATATGAAAATGTACTTCTTGTTCTATAACATTGACGCGAAAATAAACACCATTTCATACACTCTTGATTTTCACTGATGCACGCATACTTCTTTCGCGTCCGCACATATTTAAAATGTTTTTTTTTGTCAGTATGCACATCTTTCATTGACCATCACAACCTCACTTAGACACACAAATCCTTCTTCAAAATACATAGAGGCTTCTTTCGAACACATTTTTTAATAATAAACCATTAAACTTGTCATTGATCGGGATCAATTGAAAGCTGGAGCAATTGTGACACCCCAACACAATACTGATGTAAAATCATAAACTTGTAGTCACATTCAACACACATTCATATTCAACACACATTCGTAATTAACACATATTCATAATCAACAAACCTTCACATTCAACACACTTTGACATTCAACACACAACACACTTTCACACACAACAAACATTCAACACACATTCATAATCAACACACATTCACATTCAACACACAACACACTTTCACATACAACACATTCACATTCAACACACCTTCACATACAACACACCTTCACATACAACACACATTCAACACACTTTGACATAAAACACATATTCACATTTAACATTCATCACACATTCGACACACCTTCGCATTCAACACATTCACATTCAACACATATCCCCATTGAACATTCAGCACACATTCACATTCAACACCAATTCACATTTAACATTCATCACTCATTTTAATTCAACACTCTTCACATTTAATACACATTCACATTCAAGACCTACTCATATTCAACTCATCAAGCAAGCAAACAACATATTGTTCATATCATATACCGTATTCGACGTAATAAGCGCCCAGGGCGTTCTCAAAATTAGAAATAGGGGGCTCTTATTAGAAAGTTATTTTGGTGGAAAAAAACAGAGTTGAAAGATAAATTTCGTGGTTTATGCTGACAGTCTGAAATGTTTATGTACGATAGATATATTTTTCCAGAATTAAATGCCCATAATTAAGGGTGCATATAACACACAAGTGCGTATTATACGCAAATAAATAAGTCTTGTGTACATTGATCAATCGGAAGGGGTGCTAATTGGGATTGTTCACTAGCCAATATCTTAGCAAATGTCGCCGTAGGTGCTTATTAGAGCGGGGCGCTTATTACGTCGAATACGGTATATATTACCTGGTACATATATATCAATCAAACACCCACGAAACATCACCTTTCAACTGGGCGATATTGTGAGTAAATGGTGTTTTATGCAACATTCAACCAATGCTATGGCAGGAACAGCAAAAACTGCCCCTTCGTATCCGATACCCTGTTCTTCAATAAATGCTGACTAATGCTGACTAAGTCATATAATACATGTTCACCATGGCAAGAAGCCGTCCCCACCAGCCCTGTCCAACCATTGATAATACTTGGCTGTGACCATTTGTTATTCAGGGTGGGTTGAGTGCCTGGGATTTTACCCCCCAAAAATATATTGTCCCTGAAAATTCTAGTAAAAAATAATTATGCTTCAGACAGCTGCATAAAAAAGAAATTGCACACATTCACATTCACATTCAACACACATTCACATACAACACACTTTCACATACAACACATATTCACATTCAACAAACATTCACATTCAACACACATTCACATTCAACACACATTCATAATCAACACAATTTCACATACAAGACATATTCACTTTCAACACACATTCACATTCACACACATTCACATTCAACACACCTGCACATACAACACATATTCACATTCAACATTGCTTGCCACAAAAATTACATTGTTGTAGCTGTTTTTCTTTAAATAAAATGCAAGCTCATAGTTTTAAATACTAAAAAAAGCTTGTTCTGAAGCGGTAGCTGAAAGAAAAAAATATCTAATCTCGATATCAAATCCTGGGCCCCACCAAGAATATCAATGTCCCTTGAACTCACTCAGTTTGGTCAATAACTATGGCTGTATCAGATCGTGGTGTCAAGATTACACCAATAATTACTCACGTATCTTGACCCAAATGAATGATTTATGGGATTCTGACTGTCATGTGATCACTGATGAGGTCATGGGGACTAGTGTTGCTTGAGTTATCTCCCTTTAAGTTATGCACTACCAAGCTCCTTCCCAGCGCGTGACACCTTCGTTACACTCTCGGTAACATCGCTGCCGTTAGTATTGCCACAGCAATTACAAGAATGATGAAATTTGCCCTAATCCCAAATGTTATTACAGTCATATTTTTGTTTATGTCTTTGAGAATGCCATCATAGTGAATTGTTTGATAGGCATTACTTAGAATCGGTATACCAGTTTCTTATACCTAAACGTCACCTTTGTTATCCATAAATTTTGTCTACTTTGCCATCATAGTGTTGTTTAAAAATGTTTACTCTGACAAGATTTTCCAGATTTTTCCTTTTTGTTTGTTCACTAACCATGTAACATAACGGTCAGTCAGTTGCGAGTTCAACTCCATGCATGGTTGTGGCCACCTATCGGCAGCGATAGTATAGAGAGGTCCAAGAACTGACTATCGCTGTGAGTGAGTGAGTTGGGTTTAACGCCGCTTTTAACAGTATTCCAGTTATATCACGGCGTGTCAGCTTAATGTGGGAGGAAAGCCTGAAGTGATGCAGGTCTCAGACATTTACCACTTTGGTGAAACCAACTAGCATGGGTATGGTGCTGACAAACCTAGAAACATAATCGGGATTCGAACCCACAATCATAGGTTTCTGGCGTGACCAAGGGACTCAACTCTGCGCCTTAGATGACTGGGCCACCCGTGCACCCTCACTGGTAGTAGTTGTTGGAGTAGTTGTAGCGGTTATTGTGGTAGTTGTAGCAGTTGTTGCAGTAGTTGTAGCAGTTGTTGCAGTAGTTAAAGCAGTTGTTGGAGTAGTCGTAGCAGTTGTTGCAGTAGTTGTAGCAGTTGTTGGAGTAGTCGTAGCAGTTGTTGCAGTAGTTGTAGCAGTTGTTGGAGTAGTCATAGCAGTTGTTGCAGTAGTTGTAGCAGTTGTTGCAGTAGTTGTAGCAGTTGTTGGAGTAGTCGTAGCAGTTGTTGCAGTAGTCGTAGTAGTTGTAGCAGTTGTTGCAGTAGTTGTAGCAGTTGTTGCAGTAGTCATAGCAGTTGTTGCAGTAGTTGTAGCAGTTGTTGGAGTAGTTGTCGCAGTTGTTGGAGTAGTCGTAGCAGTTGTTGGAGTAGTCGTAGCAGATGTTGGAGTAGTCGTAGCAGTTGTTGCAGTAGTTGGAGAAGCTGGTCTTTTTGTCATGTCTTCAGCTCTGCTACTGAGGTATGGTGGAAACGCATTGATTGTTGAAGCTGTTGGTACAGTTGACACACACTATTGCTGTTTCTCTTCCATTGTCACCACAGCATTGGCAAACTCCAGCACCGCACGGTCTATCCATGTTATTGGGCTTGGAGTAAAATACCCACCTTCAAAATATCCAAGATGGCCGCCATGGCGTGTCACAACATAGAGGCAGTTGTCCCGGGATTCTGGGAAACAAGATTGAGTATTAGTGAGAGTTGTTTTACGCCGCTTTTAGCAATATTCCATCAATATAAAGCAGGGTTAGAAACTAACAGTTTTCGGCCACTAGTCCTTATAATGATAACATAAAGCAAAACCCTTAAAAAGGGCAAATTTCTACTAGTACTTATGATACCTTTACCATTGGGCAGTTTGGCAAGGACTATAGGACTAGTGCCAATTTCTAACGCTGATGGCGTGTCACAACATAGAGGCAGTTGTCCCGGGATTCTGGGAAACAAGATTGAGTATTAGTCAGTGTTGTTTTACGCCGCTTTTAGCAATATTACATCACTGTAAAGCCAGGCAACACCAAAAATGGGCTTTATACATTGTACCGATTGTACTGCTTTTAGCAATATCCCAGCAATATCACGGCGGGGGACACCTGAAATGGGCTTCACACATTGTACCCATGTTGGGAATCAAACCTGCCTCTTCGGCGTGACGAGCGAACGCTTTAACCACTAGGCTACCTGACTGCCCAGGAAACAAGAGGATGAGTGAGTGAGTGAGTTGGGTTTAACAGCCCATTATACAGTAGTTCAGTTGTAGGATGCAATCACAACTGTTCATAAGAGAGAAAGCTTCAGAAAGTGACTCATGACACTTTTATATATTTTATAATGTACTCCCTATGTTTAAATTATTTCTTTTCCAGCTGCTTTTCAGAAGGGGTGGTGGGCATGTGAAATGAAAAAGATAAAAAGTGGCCTAGGTAAAATGAGCATCAAAATCATTTAATATGATGTTGCAAAATTTAAATATTGTGTATTTTAAATTATGTATTTTTAACTTGGGTAAATAAAATAGTTAAGTACGGTAGCAGCTTCTTAAACTAACCTGAGCAATCTCATCTGACCCTGAGGTAAAGAACAGGGTGTAGTTATGAAATGTCTCTCGTGGTCCAGCCACAGCTTGACCAGTGATTGCCTATTCCATTGTTTCTATAAATTAATTTAGATTTCTTTCGTTATTATGTCGGTGGTAGCCTTATTTCCACTTTTGTTTTCAACTCAAGGCTGATTCTCCACTGTTTAAATATAAGTAGTTGTACATGCTTCCCATATCTGGTTTAACGCCAATTCACAGGCTCTGTGATGTCACGACAATTTAAATGTACAGGTGAGGTGAAATTGGGTTTAACGTCGCGTCCAAGATTATTGCACTTATATAGCGACGTGCATGCACGTGTATGTGTGTGTGTGGCTGCTTGTACTAGTCCGGACTGATGCCGATTTATAGTGCTAGCTCACTGAGATACCATGCCGCAGTTTAACATGAATACCCCACTCAGACACAGTATACTGACTCCGAGCCGACCAGTCCTTGTTTTAGCCCCTTAATGCCGAGCGCCAGACAGGGTAACAACAAGTACAATCTTTTAACGTCTTTTTGTATGACGCGGCCCGGGATCGAACCCTGGACCTTCCGCTCTCCAGGCGGACGCTCTACCACAAGACCACGGAGGCGGTCTAAATGTACAGTAAACTACGCTTATAACGAACTAAAAGGGACCACTAATTTTAATTTGTAGTCCGTAGTTTGTTATAAGCATATATACAGCATACATACAACAAATTTCCAGGACTAAAAAATAAGTTTGTTATATCGGTCAGTTCGTTATAATCGTGTTCGTTATAAACATAGTTTACTGCACATTTGTCACATGTCAGCCATGTATGATGGCCGACAATGATCAACACCTTTCTGATGTTGACGTTTCACAATACAGGTGAGCCATCCCTTTATATATTCAGTCTACATCTGTTGCTAGTGGATCAATTATATCTAATATATTACATAATAACCAATCAAGTAATGTAAGTTAGTAAAGAATCGATCGTGTATAACGTAAACATCACGCTTATCGCCATTACTAACTTTAACACTGCACTAGCATCGCACTAAGACTGTGTCAAAGGGACAATACTATACGTACCGTATTCGACGTAATAAGCGCCCCACTCTAATAAGCGCCCACGGCGATATTTGCTAATATATTGGCAAGTATCCCAATTAGCATCCCTTCTGATTGATCAATGTACACAAGACTTATTTATTCGTGTATAATACACACTCGTGTGTTATATGAACCCTTAATTATGGGCAATGAAATTCTGGAACAACATATCTGTCGTATATAAACAGTTCAGACAGTCAGCATAAACCACAAAATTTATCTTTCAACTCTGTTTTTTCCACCAAAATAATATTCTAATAAGAGCCCCCTATTTCTAATTTTGAGAGCGCCCTGGGTGCTTATTACGTCGAATACGGTATATGTTTAATATTTTAATACCATATTATACCCAAAACACTATTTTATAGATCACTGTCCTCATGCCAGTGTGACGTCAGTATATTCTCAGTATTAATGCACTATCATGCATAGTGTTTATATATATTTTGCCTTTTTGACTTCTTTTATTATTATATGATATAATATGGATATTCAATTGTCACCTGTCAGTCTGGTAGGATGGCCGACAGTAATCAACACCTTTCTGATGTTGACATTTCACGTTACAAGTGAATAAATATGTTTTTAATGAAACTCTGTGTTCAAATGCTTGTCTAGAACAACTTGGAGCCTGACCTGCGACATTTCTATTTATAATAATAATAATAATAATTTATCATCCAAAACTGGCCCCCACAGGAGATATCCTTGGGTGAGATCAAGCGATATCTACATTGTAGATATCGCTGCAATGAAATGCATCACAATGCTTTGCAGACCATTGTGACATCACAATCAAATGACATCACTAATGCCTCTGTTAGCTGTACTTTTTACACTTAAGACACTGCTAATTACTATCTACAAACTGAAAAAGTTGGAAGAATGATGTTGGATGATAAATAAAATCTCACCCTTGTGTCTTTTGATATCAAATATATCAAAACACGTTGATAAAAGTGGAAAAACTCCCCAGCAACTCTATTTATCATAAGGAGGTTAGGATCTGATATTTCAGTCTCGATTAATAAACTATTATCATTTTAACTGCATATCTGATACATAGGATACTTTGCAGTCTCACCCACTTAATGCAATGTTGTAAATATATTACTTATTTAGCAATGTCATGATACATTAGTGTGCAATGTGATTAGCAATGATTTCAGCAAAAATAAAATGTAATTTACGTGTTGAGCTACCACATTTAAGAGGTACTTTCAGTAATTTATATAGTTTAAAGCTATTAGAAATACATTTACATGCATCTCTATCAATAATTACAGCTATAAATGTCAGTAATATATTATAAGGGTAATGCTATTTTTCAGGGCATTATCATTTGCAGAAGCCTGAGGTCTTCTATTAACTGCCCGACGAAGGAGGGCAGTTGAAAAGACCGATGGCTTCTGCAAATGATAATGCCCTGAAAAGTAGCGTCACCGTTATAATAGCTAAAATAGATAGAATTTGTTATCAAATAAAAATAAATAACAATATCGGTTTTGAAACATTTAGTGCAATCGAATTTCACTGACCAACTTTTACAGATATGGAAATAGAACATACCAGATGACGTCACTATTGAACGTGCATCGCCCATCCCTAAAACCTATGACGTCACCTAACAACGAGCATGATCATGGCCCGTCGTCAAGCAATATGAGGGCATTATCAAGTTACAGTGGCCCGCTCATTTCTGATAAGATGCGGGCGGTTTAATGATAAGTCTATCCATTTTAGCTATAATGTACAATAGTATTTCAGCAGCATAGTAAGCTATATTATTGCGGAAGTAAATCTATAATGGATCGTAATGGCACACGCTTACTAAACTATAATTTAGAGTCATACTATACACTGAGCCTTGTATGAGTTAGTTGATTATTATGTACATAGTTCCATGAAATATTAGGTTTACATTACAGTGTGTGTGAGAGAGACAAAGAAAAAGCCTATGTCTGTATGTATGTGCGTGCGTGCGTGGGTGCGTGAATGCGTGAATGCGTGCGTGGATGCATGCGTGCGTGCGTCAGTGTGCATGTGCAGGTTAACATTTTACTGAGTTGTGTCATTTTATTACTGGTGAGTGAGTGAGTTGTGTTTAACTCCGCTCTTAACAGTATTCCAGTTATATCGCGGCGTGTCAGCTTAATGTGGGAGGAAAGCCCGAAAGTGATGCATGTCTCAGACGTTTACCACTTCGGTGAAACCCAAGAGCAGGGGTATGGTGCTGACAAATCTAGAAACATAATTGGGGCGAACCAGGATTCGAACCCACAATCATAGGTTTCTGGCGTGCCGAAGGACGACTGGGCCACCCATTTTATTACTTAACATAAGAGGCACATTTAGAGCATACCGTGTGTATTTTATCGTAAACTAAGCCGGAAATAGCAATCAGCTGTACACACGTTTTCTCCCAATCTACCAGTGATTCAGTTAAAAAGTACCTAATGATACAACTTCAAAGAATTTTGATGCAAAGGTGTTACTTTAGTTGCAGCTTTTACTTTATATATCTAAAATGATAAGATCCATAAGCGTAGCACTTTGGTATCGGTGATTCCTATTTCAGGATATTTTTACGTATGGAACAATTTGACTTCTCGTGCTACATGTATTTCAATTGCAAAAACACCAATATGTTGACATATAATAGCCAAATGGCCACAAATATCAGAGCTCTAGATAAGCTTTTGGTTATTTGGGTATATTACCCAGAGGTTTCATTTTGATTGGGTATCCACAATTTTTAGAGGGTATTCAAATATTTTTTACCACCCGTTTCTTGACATTCGGGTATTTTAACTTAAAACCTGTTTCGTAACAATGCCCTTAAATCATTGTGATTAGAACTATATCCGTCTGCGTCTGCTTACGGCTCCCTCTCCGGGTAGCAATTTTTGTTCGCAAAACTTGGCATAGTAAGAAAGGCACTTTTTTTTAATCACCAATCAGCGTCTGTTTAAGATACAACATGTACATTGACTAGGCACGATG